CATGAACTCAAAAGACAACGAATTTTCAGATGTTTCTATTACGAAGAGAAATGATGTTATCTCATTCAGTGGTTCTTTCCTATTTTCTTAATCTGAATGCCGTCGGATTAAACAACAGAAATAACAGTCAGATAATATCTATTATTTGACTCATAGTTGTATCAAAAGTTGTATTTGAATATGATTTAAGATAAAAAACATCTATCCTGCAGATATTCGAAAAAAAGGCTAAGTCACTGTAATAAGCACTGTTAGACTAATCACATAATATTAGCAAAGGCGATTTAGTTTTCTTTACTGACATGAGTAATTATTGAGTAGACTAGTATCAGATAAACTCTGATACACGCATGTATGAAACATGATCACGTTGAGACATGAGTAATTGAGAATGAAAAAAGGACTCGATTGAAAGAATAAATAGAAAGACTAAAATGGTTCCTTTGTTCAAAGATTAGAATGAATCAAGTAGCGTTTTAGTGATGAACGAGATTTGACTGTAGTGTACAGTTGAAAATAATACCTACCTTCGGATCTAGTAGGTGATATTTTTTTAATAATAGGTCGGTTATCGCCGTAGAAGAATTATTTGCAAATTGTTGAACAACAATGTTCCATGATATTATGTGACACAATGGTTGTAATTATCTTGCATAGTTCTGCCTAACCTGAATTCTGAAGTAACTATCTGGAATCGAAGTGAAGCAATATCTTCAATTAATTAAAGTTAGGCACTTTCGCTGTTGCACTTTGGTTTTCATGCGAAGCCAAAGGTTCTGGGTCCCGTTTTCGCAGCACGGATGCACACTGCTGATGAGTTTCACACTGGAAGGAGATGACCATTTAGTGCTTCAAGGTTTCTAATGGCTTTTTAGTATGTATCGATTTACGATATCAACAGTCTCAAAATCCCTACAGTAGAAAATCTATCCGTTTTGTGAGTGTCGTTTATACTGGCATCTTTCATTAAGAATCCAGGATAATTAAATGTTCGAGAAATTTACATACAAACTCTACTTTGTTTACATTACAAGTTTGTTCATTCATAACAAGAAACCTATACGTCTTTGATAATTTTGGTAAACAAACATGGCAAATAATATGAAATAATGTTGCGTAAACGAAAGTTAACATGGAAAAGAAAAATCACTCAGTCGAAGAATGTAAGGTGATTATAGTGAATAACATGTGCATATAAACTGAACATTTTTTCAATATGGATTCTACCATGTAAAAATAGGCCGTTTGAATGATCACTTCATTAAATGATAAATATATTTGATTATTTGTTGAAGTTAGCGTTATTTGAGCAAGTTGGCTTTCTCAATGATTGAGTTGGCCAACCCCATGCTCAACCTTCCCTTATCCGGGAGTGGGATCGACAGAAACCTGAGAACGGTGGTTTCAAGCAGAAGTAATGAATATAAAATGCAGTTAGTTGAGAATAATTCGTTAAACACATTACCTTCTGTGATAAAATTATTCTTTATGAATAAATTCAGTAAACATAGTGAAATTCCGATTGACAACCATAGAAAGAATATTTGTTCAGCCTATTGAATAACCAAAAAAATTATATTAGATACGAATAACTAACATATAAATGACGAATAACTACTACTTTTCAGCTATACTCGTGCGACTAGACGTATACACTTTTCTACTAGGAACCTATTTCGGTACTAATTAACTCAATAACTAAAGTCACATGATTGGATGTAGTAGTCAATCAATGTTCAAAATTAGTATGACATTGAACAATCACTGAAACAAACAAAATTAGTTGACTGACTAATGACAATGAAAAAAACAATTATAAGCAAATATCATACACACTGAGAATAAATAATATTGTTTAAATCTATCATGAAGTTGTAATGTCAAGTTAATTAATGGAATAGAATATTCATCAAAAACCACCAAAACTCATAAAATGAAAATCATCATGTACCGTTTGTAACTAAACAAACATGTACTTGTCTGATTTTATAGTGCAGCATTTGAAATTGGATATGCACATGTATGGCTGTTAGATATTGACAGAAAAGCTAGGTTTACAAATTAGTTGTTGAGGATGATAGCTGTGTTTGTTTGAGAAAAAATCAGTTTTCATGAGAGTAAATAACTACCCAGTAACTAGATAAAAGTTGAACCGCTCATATTTTCTTAACCTGAATGATCTCCATAGGAAATGAATGTTTTACAAAAACATGATCAACCACCTAATGAAATCGAATAGAACAACTCCAGAACCATGACAGTCGTATAGATCACAGATTACTTTTTAAAGATCTATTCAGAAATAAGATCAAAATTGAAAATTATTCATCTGAAAACGATACCATGTGCAACATGATAGTCACTGGAATTAAAAGAAACAGAAAACACAGGAATGTAAACTAATTCATTGTTTGTAAATATTATTTATCAGTCACACTGTTAAAACACAAAACATAATTATTCTCTCCAGATATTCTTTTCAATTCAAATAATGATGTTAAATTATTGTGGAATCGATTTCTTCCACTAGTATGTTTTAGATAGTTGTCTCTCCGAAAAAATTAAACTGCAAAGATTTGTTCAATTTCGTTTATTAAACTTCTTTGCTTCAAAAAACTCAATGTCATATTGAGTAACCATGGTTGAGTGTTGAGATTTGCATGAAAATGTTTACTCCACATTAATTTAAATTTCATGTTTACCAAATTTGCTAATGAATATATATATATATATATATTTCTGTTTGAAATTGCATACGTATTGATTCTGCAAGAACAAATGAACAAACATGACGATGAAATAGAAAGTTTTTCATAAGAGAAAGTGCTATGTAAATAATAACAATAAAGGACTGTAAGCGAAGTAGTGCAGACACATAAAATTATTGATTGTTCATCCAAATTTTAAATCGATCAATATACGACCGATATTAAAAACCTTATATGATCAAATAATTATAATGTTGATAAATTAAGATAAATAATATCTTTCTTGTGAAATTAGCTAATTTTTTAATGAAGGGTTGACAAAGTTGTTGAGTTTCATCAAAATCATTTGTAGATTCATGGTTTCAATGAAACTCCACGATCTCCGAAACGCTTGACAGAAATTGTTTTTGTGCTCACTGGTGACTGGTGTCATGAAGAAAATTCTCTGAGTTCTAGTGAGAAGTCGCAAACAGTGAAGTTCAACCTTTTTAAGGCCGAAACACTCCCTATCAATGACAGTCAGTGAGGTAGCACAAAACTGTTTTGTGAAGTTAGCTTACTTATTAATAAAGGGTTGATAAGCTTGTTGAATTTCATGAAAACGATAGAACTGTTAAAATAAGAACCCCGTTAGACTAAAGGATTAAATAAATTGATTGAAATAAACCCATTCGCGAAACCACTTAGATCTTTTATGTGGATAATAAAAACAGCTCATATTTCAGAAGCTAAACTTCTGTGAACCAAAATCATAAAGTACGAAAGTGATCTTTCATAACTGAAAAATGTTTACATCATGGATTCTACTGTTCAACCCTGTGGAACTGTAGTGTTTCACATCACAGTAGATGTCATTGGAGTTAAAGAAAAAGAATTAACAACATGAATAATTCTTTTTTTGCTTCATCGATTGCCTAAGCTGTAAGTACTGTTAAAGATTATACAGAGGATTGCTTATTATTCGAAAAGTTGAGTAAGCCAAAATATTAGGCTACCATTTAAAGGTTCATCCAAGAAACGCCGTAATTTTTTTCACATGGTAACTAGTCACATTCACTCACTGCTTTTCAGTTATACACAGCCTGACTGATATATCCAGTGAACAAGATTTCACAGCATCATGACGATTGCGCAAAGATATCCCGTAGTCGTTACTTTTATACCAAAGTTCATGTTTGGCGAGTGAAATTGGTGTCGCAGTTGTGAAGCGTAAACTATTGATCTATGCTCTCTTAGAATCAATTAGTTTGTTCAGATGTATGATTTTGAATGATGAACACAATTCGACAATGTGACGAGCATTGACCAAATGTTTCAACATCTAATTATAGAACTCTAAACATTCATTTTTCAAAACCAATACGAGGTGATGCTAGAAGAATTATTCGGTGACTGCTAGCTTTTTGCAGTCAATATAATATATAATAATATGTGCATCAATATAAAATAAACAGCCGATCAATTCGAAGACGAAGATTTTTTTTATCTCAGTATCTCAACTATACTCACTAATTGTAAATAAATTTGTAAGGAGGTTGGCGATTCCTCATTTAGTGATTCTTGTTTCAGGTTTCCACCACTGAGTTTAGTAGAATAACTACATAAACCAAATATTTTCGGCAGTCACATTAGTTCGTCATTGTTATGATGGTGAATAATATTTCAGTCAGTTGGATATATTCTTCTAGCGGTTGAGGAAAAACAGAGTATTTTGATTTTAGCTATTCTCTTTCAAACCCAGAGTTGATGATTTGTATGTTGATAGTTTCTCATAGGTTAATTGCATTTCGAATCTTTTTGTGGACTGATTGAATTTATTTCCTGGAAGATATCAAGGAAATGATGTAACAGATACTATTTAGGTACCAATGTAAACCTGAATGTTTGATGACAGCTTATTAATTTGTTCACGATAATATTGATCACAATATCTGCATTTCTGAATATTGATCTACTATCTATAATTTTCTTGTAAAACTGAGTTTCTGATTATTAGCGAAACAACACATTCTTCATATTAGCCATGAAGGAGTCCTAAAGACGATTCTCCTATAACAAACAGTTTTCGCCTATTTAATTCAAGCCTAAATGAAATATAACATATTGCTAATCCTATGACCGTAGTTAGTATACATGTCTATCATTCTGACACATGTCGCAACACTTCCAAAAATAACAGTGAGAAGTAAGTATTAAGCTTTTCACTGCAAACAAAGTTTATGATTGGTGTATGAATGTATCTGAGTTAAATTTGTTTAAATTACTTTCTCACAATTTACAAATTCCTGAAATCAGCAATGTACTTAATTATATTTGATTAGACAGCTCAACTATAACACTATTCTAAATAATTTCTTCATATGTTATATATTTACGTTTTACTATTTTCAATCTGTTTACTACAAGGCGCAAACGGTAAGATTTTGAACATTTGTCCACTTTAATTAATTACTGTTTATGTATTACAAATGTTAATCAAACCAACAAATCAATCTGTCGTCCTTTATGATCAACCCTCATCCAGTTCATAAAATAACTCAAATACAAGTAGTCTTGTTGTACGTAGTAGCTGTGTGTTCACAAATTCGATCATATCACTTTACTGGACAAAAAATTAATATTTGTTTAGAATAGGCACTGGAGGAAAACAGCTATATATTTTACTTATAAATGCAGATGAAAATAACTGTGAATGTTAGCAGTTTCAAAGATTGTTTTTTGATGTTTAGAAATGGGAAGATAAGAGATCAAATGCGTGCAAATAAATGAAGCATATGTAGAGTCTTATGAATGAAGTTGAGAATGAACGTAGATTGTGTTTAGTTGAGTAACAGTTTAACACTGGTTTATATATAATATATTTACGTTTTGTATAAAGTTCAAATAATAGTCCTAGAGGAGTGCTGTGGATGTGTTTTTTGTTTAAATTTACTATGTATTATGACTGAATTACTGAACCGATTCTCAAGTACACTTGGTTGATTAGGGAGCGATTTCTGATAGATTTGAAAATTTATGTGAGGTGCAAATTAGGCTACTGACTACAATATAAATTTTTATTGAAATAAAGAGTTTACAAATAATATGGCAACGCGCCACCTATGGTTATCAATTTCAAACATTCCAGACTACAGAATCGATCAGTAATCAATGAGTACAATACAATCAATTAATACAATACATGTGGAACAATATGTTTAGATCTATTCAAGTCAAGGTATTTATTTATGAAAGATTGAGAATGTCAAATAGAAATTATTGACATTTAACAATTAATATGATAATTAGAAACATTATAGTCTGAAAAAAGTGATAATTAATCGTATTAAGTTAAAGCGAACGGTAGAAGTAATAATTTCATACAAACTTGTTCTTAAGTTACTCCTAGAACCTGTGACTGGAAAAGATCACATTTTTACACCAACTCATTCATTTCAGAGTTTACATTCAAAAATTATTATCAGAAATTAGCTGTTTCAAACTAATTTTAAATTTGTCTATGCTCCTCAACCAACAAATAACGTAATTTTAGATATTTGTTTCTTGTGCAAAACCACATAAACTTACGGTTCAGTAACTTGCATCACTCATAATTAAGTCGAATCTAAAACGTATCAATCTGGATGATCGATTTTTGGTTTGATTATTATAAAAATGATATGAAAATGTTACAAATGATGTTTGTAAAAATGTCAGCCTAGTTTCAACACCAAAAATACTGAAAACATTTATGTATCTGTCAATTTTTTATTCCTTGGTACTATTATATAGTTTTAAAATCATATTCGTTATACCACTGAATTGTGGGAGTTTATTGAAACAATGATTCCGTATTTTCACTTGTGTCGTTCATTTTTATATTGTAGGCGAAGAAGGTAAGTCAAATGTCTACTGTCTCATTATAATATACAAACACTGAGGAAAAATATTCAATAAATATAGATTCTACAAAGCATTATTCTAGTCTAAAAACTACAAAATATCAGAAATCATATATTTTTACATATTTTGAAAGTTTTAACGACCACACAAAGTAACGAACGATATGGTCTTCGAATAGATCGTCATTAGGCTGCACTTCAATAGACATAAATATCCATTCACATATAACGTAGTTAACTATTACCTGTATTATTCTCACATCCTGTATTTGTTAGTAATTTTTTCTAACTTTCCGTCTATGTTCTTCAATAACCGTATTTTTTTATTCTGATCACAAACTGTTCACTTCTTTTCCTGCTAACAATTAATACTTTTACCTGTAAGTTGTAACTTTGCAATCTATTACATTGTAATAATTGACACATATTTTGCCTTGATTGATCCAACATTTTTAGTAATGTGTTCCTGTCTAATAAAATAAAACTTGATGGTGATCTAAATAAAATAAAAAAACAATACTGTTTGCTTATGAGTTGTTCTGATAGAAAGTATCCAAATTGCGAATATTTTGAATGATTGTATAGACTCAGTTTTATTTATGATTCTCTTCGAAACTGTTAGTGCTAAAAAGTATCTTCTACAATGTAACAAACTTATGATATTGAGATGATCAATTGATACTTATAGTTGAAAAAAAAACGAATGAAATCAGGTGGTAGTAATCATAGTTCTATGTAAATGTACAATGATGTAATAAGCAGAACTTTACAGTATATAAACACATGTCATTTAGGTATCACTATTCAACTATTCGGTGTGAGGGTTTGCCATCCTTTTATAAACTGACGATTGACATCAACATCAAGAGAATGAAATATGAGAGATATTGTCAGAGTTTAGTTTTTTGAAGTAATAAATGTGGAATATTTTATTCATTTGAATACAGTCACCGAAATATTTCATCTTGGTAATCACTGTCAAACATATATTATTTCTTCACTCACCGATATTTTGAATTAACCAACTGTTCCATACATGACATTTCTAAAATTAAAATTGAACCTATGCGTAAATGCTGAACTCAAATAATGTAGGTATTTTCTATTGTTTCTTTAGTAATCTTGAATGTTGTGTAAGTGAAATGACAATATTGTTCAATTTGAAAAGCCTGCATTATTCAACATTGGAAAAATACTCAGTTCAGTTCAAATAAATAGACCGCATTTTAATAATGAACACATTTTGTGAGCAATATCGTTTTCAACATGCGTTTTGTGTTTAAATAATGCGATAGCTGGTGTATCAATCAGCAAAAATAAAAGTGATCTGTACAATTGAATTTACAAATTTAATTGAGACGTGCATTGATTGAAGATTGACTAATTCCATGTTTTCGTAGTCGGCATTGTTTATTGAACTCCATCTGAAAAGCTACTATAAGGCCTTTGATCTGTTGTACAAGAAATTTCCTAACTTGTGTGATGATTTTGAAAATTCTGGAACTATTGACTTCGTAAGATTCGCTACGAAGTGTAACCTGAGGATTTTAAAGAATCAAAGCTGACCTTGATTTCCCGATTTATGGGTAGAGAAAATTCATTAAAGATCGCGCACCGATTGAACAGCATATTGTCTACTTATCAGTGTTCGATTGGTTTCACTATGTCCTCGAGATGTTTGGATTCACAAAGCTACACTTACGTAAACTAAACATCAGCAATAATCACTAAGTCAATATGGAAATCACTTGTCATAAGCCCTAGAATGATGAATAAAGTAATGTAAATCAAAGTAACAAATACGCGATTATTGCTAAATGGAATGAAGTAAATTCAGTGATTGACGGCGGCACTGTTACTCACGGTTTTTTTATGAATATCAGCTCAACCTTCATTGTTCATTAAAACCTTTTCAAATAACTATGTATGTTTGCGACTGAACAGCATGGTCATCATTTACGAAACGATCAAAGTTTAACGCAATATTCGAGTCACAGCCTGAAATTATGAACTTTTAAATGGTTTTATACTAAATCTATAGCATTGGTATAACTGCCTATGCATAAACTCTGAAAAATTGACTTTGTTACTCATTATCTTAAGTGAAACATCAAATCCAGCTATGTAGATAGCTCCAATCTAATTGTTGTCTGTTCACTACCTTGCATGTATTTCAATGATTTTTTAATGGAAATCAATAATACAGTAATAAGATATCTATTATCATAATTTTCCATTGATTATCGCTTCAGGGAATTTTTAATGCAACTTTGGTGAGTTGTTCAGATTCCCATTTTTCACAATGCAGTAAGGTTATTCTAGTTTAGTAATAGTAAATTATAATAAACTTTTCTTCACACAAATAACTCATATGCAACGCATCCTAAATCTAATTTTACTAGTGTAGTAAGGAAAAAGGAATTCACTTATCCGAACTGTTCTTATCAGCACTTCGTATTTAGAAGCATTATGTCAGTTTTTATATTCCACAATCACTGATTCAAAAGACCTTAATTTAAAACTTCTTATTTCTATGTTGTTCCAAACAATACTTTGAAAAAAGCAGTTCTTTTATATGAAGCTTATTACAAGCTATGAGAATGAATACATCAATCTGAATGAAAGTATCAAAGTAGATACAGCTATCAATCTTGTTCATTTCTGACTACAATATCTCCAGGAGATTGTTATGCAAAATGTCGTCTCAATTGCATCGAAATCTCCAACATTTTAAATCTTACTTGCAAGCTTACTCAACTGGCATATATGTAAGATAACCTCTCTTTTGTTAGGAGAAATATTATGTTTTCTCTTTTAATAGATTGTCAGCACGATTCAAATACATTCGTGCTGTTTTGTTTAGACATTAGGGTTTTCGTTATTCAAGTATTTAGATTTGAAAAATCGTTTAAAAATTCCTCTCTGTTCATTCACTTTGGCATAGTTGTCAATGTTACCTAAATGAAGTATAATTATTTATCAAATATAACTCACTATTTATTATTCTGTTTTGTGTATTCTCTGACAACAGGAAAAATCTTTACACACGTTTGGGTGAAACTTGGAAATGTTTTTTGGATGTGATGCCCACATATCTCGGTGGTAATGACAATGCATGTGTTAATCTCAGTAAAACTTAATCGCATTCAACACCATCAGCATCTATCAGAATTGAATCAAATCAATGCGCAAAATAAATATTACACACAATACTTAAAATTCGAAAATGTAAAACAGTTGGATCTTAAAATTTTATAACTAATATATTTTTGATTTTTTTCAGTAACAAATTATTAAAAAATTAAATTAAAATCCAGTCGCACAAATTAAAATGACTTTTCAACAAAGAATATGTTTTCACGGTAAATCATGAGTGTGTTACTTATGATGAAATTCAGATTTGATCTGTTACTATTAGAGTTTTTCGTTATTTACTTTTGTTGCGATTAGAAATATTGAGGCGTCTTGACCGGAGAATCTTTCATACATCGTCAATAAATCCATATGAACGAACAATGGGAGTTGACAACCAATGTCAAATACATAAACATTGTATTCTTATTCTTGTCGAAATTCATAAAGCATTATTTCAATGAAAAATTGTTTAGTTAAGCACTTTGTCAACATGTTTTATTTTCAATGCTGCTGACGTACAATCAATACATTGAAACGACATTTCGTAAAACAAATGGCATAAGGACTGTGATGAAATTATCATTAGCAAAAAACTAAGGTTCATCTTAACCTGTATAATGGACTCATAATTACCTCAGGTCAAATTATTGTATCCGCACGACAAGACAATGATCCAACACAGCTTAACAATGTGAAAAGAAAAATGTTTACGAATGTAAATGTGTATAATTCAAAGATTGTTCACAGTCTGGTTTGTCGTTAAAATAATCAGATAAAAATGACAAATGATATTTTGAAACTGTTTTTGAATTATCTCTGTTAGTTAGACATAAATTCAAGCATGTTCCATACACGATTGCATCGTTGCACGCTTATTGGCTCTTTCGTATCCAATCAGTGCTAGTCAGTGCTGAGGGGACATTCTAGAGCCTTCTCATGTAAGATACTATACTTGTACTAATGTTTTCAGCTACTTGTCTTTCTTTTCGGCATCGCTTTTGGAATATAAGATCTTTCTTTTTCAACCATGACCTTATTTTGTAGAACGTCCGGAATGCATAATAAGGAGAGAATTATAACATTCTACATACATTTTCAGTACCAATGACGAACTATTCGGTGAATAAAAATGCCTATTTGATGAGAATTAGTTTGTAACAATACAACAACCTGAGACCATCTCATTTTCATACAGTGTAATATTTCAGCACAATATCTTTGCAATACTAAACATCATGCTGATAACTAAATGTCCACCTAAATTAAGTAAACATTTAATTTATCACAGTGTGAGTAAAATGTTCTCGCCTGATGTATCTCACTGTATGAACAACTCAACATTTACAAAAATTATTATTTAGCTGTAATATCATCAGTTCAAGCAATTTCCAAATAGACTCAAAATTAAATTCTAATTCATTTTAGCTTCACGAAGAATTTTAATATGAAACACTCACACACACAGAAAATTCACTTTTTATGTAGTAAACTGTGAAGATGAATTGTTCTCAGCTCAATTGTCTATAATGATTAGAAATACATGGAAAGGTTTGTGATTTTTAAATGGTAGTTAAAAGGTGGATAGTGAGTAGAGAAAAAACCTTTGTCACCAAATGAAATTAGGTAGTTTCCGCGATATTAAAATACAAAATGTGATATGAAAGTTTCTCAGTGATTATTATTTTTATTTTGGACTTTGATGTACGCTTTAAATCCTAACCTTTAGTTGATCATATGCAGTGTGTTCTCACTGTTCATCGAGATTTCGCGTGAAAGATGAATTATATTTTGTTAATTCAACGTAACCTAACACAAATGTAGAGGAAACATTGGAGCCTAATAATAACTAGAGATTTCAACTATACAGCCATTGAAAAGTAGGAGGAAATATAAAACAGTTATTGTCAATATTAGTTCATCCAACAGAACACACTGAAAATACTTCAAAATACCAAATCTAAGGTATTGGGCTTTCGGATGGGTGTATTTTTTAAGTAGATGAGTGCTCAAACATTGATACCTGATATGGAAACTGAATTCAAATGGTAATGAATGTATTCCGAAGCAAACTGTTAGAATCACTTTATTGATAAGGTGCTGATAACAATTCAGAAACGTTTCTTCAAGATCGACAGTGTACTTGAACTTTAATAACAACACTGATCGAATTCTTTCAAATAATCCACCGAACTCACGTCAAATAGGTTCCATTTTTGGTGAGTATCAACGGATATTTGCCTGATCAAAATTTCGTAGAATTAACTATTCATACACGGCAGAATTTATTCCATATTTTAGTTTAAACTTTTTAATAATATAAGACCTTCTTTTTTTCGACTGAAGTATATAGATGAATCTAACTTTTCAGTATCACATGCTTAAGACTCATGTGAACAGAGAAGCAATACTACTTCGTTCCACAAGCAAGTTATATATATATATATCTGTCATCCTATAAACATATGATATACAACTAAGAAAGGTTATCTAAAATTGTAGATAGTTTCAGTGATCTTAAGTTAATACATCTGAACGACTGTAATATTGTATGCAAGAAATATTTTCACGAAAACAACTGTTTACTAAACAACCGACAAGGCAAAGAAATTGTATAATTTTATCACATTGCTGGTTAATTTCATTATGCTAACTGAAAATAATTTTTGTCTATGCTCCTCAATCGAAAGAAAACGTAATTTTCAGTATTTGTTTCCTGTTTAAAAAGCCATATAAACTTACGGTTAAATAACTTGTATCACTCATAATGAAGTCGAATGTAAAACGTATTAATCTGGATGATCGATTTTTGGTTTGTTTAATATAATTATGATATTAAAATGTTACAAATGATGTTAGTACACAAATCAACATAAGTTTAACACCAGAAATACTGAAAATATTTATGTTTCTGTGAAATGTGTATCCTTGGTGCTCTTTTATAGTTTTAAAATCATATTCGTTATACCACTGAATTGTGGGAGTTTATTGAAACAATGATTCTGTATTTTCACTTATGTCGTTCATTTTTATATTGTAGGCGAAGAAGGTAAGTCAAATGTCTACTGTCTCATTATAATGTAAAAACACTGGGGAAAATTAATCAATAAATATAGATTCTACAAAGCGTTATTCTAAGCTAAAAACTACAAAATATCAGAAATCACATTTCTTTACAAAAACACAAAGTAACGCACAATATGGTCTTCATATAGATCGTCATTAGGCTACACTTCAATAGACATTAATATCCATTCACGTATAACGTAGTTAACTATCAACTGTATTATTCTCACATCCTGTATTTGTTAGTAATTTTTTCTCACTTTCCGTCTATGTTCTTCAATAACCGTAGTTTATTATTCTGATCACAAACTGTTCACTTCTTTTCCTGCTAACAATTAATACTTTTTCCTATAAGTTATAACTTTGCAATCTATTATGTTGTAATAATTGACACACATGTTGCCTTGATTGATCCAACATTTTCAGTAATGTATTCCTGTCTAATAAAATAAAACTTGGTGGTGATCTAAATAAAATTAAAAAAAAAATACTGTTTGCTTATGAGTTGTTCTGATACAAAGTATCCAAAATGTGAATATTTAGAATTATTGCATAAACTCAATTTTATTTATGATTCCCTTTGAAACAGTTGGTGGTAAAAAGTATCTTCTACAATGTAACAAACTTATGATATTGAGATAATCAATTGATACTTACATTTAAAATAAACGAATGAAATCAGGTGGTAGTAATCATAGTTCTATGTAAATGTACAATGATGTAATAAGCAGAACTTCACAGTATATAAACACATGTCATTTAGGTCACACTATTCAACTATTTGGTGTTAGGGTTTGTCATCCTTTTATAAACTGACGATTGACATCAACATCAAGGGAATGAAATATGAGAGATATTGTGAGAGTTTAGTTTTTTTGAAGTAATAAATGTGAAATTTTTTTATTTATTTGAATACAGTCACCGAAATATTTCATCTTGTTAATTACTGTCAAACATATATTATTTCACACATTTGAAATCATTATTCAATCATCATTGTGAGACCACCATTAGAAACCTGGAAGCACTGGACGGCCGTTTCGTCCTAGTATGGCACTCCTCAGCAGTGCGCATCCACGACTCCTGCTCCTCGCAGGATTCGAACCCGGGACCTTTGGCATTGTAGGCGAACGCAAACCTCCAAAACTGTGCCCCAATATAATGTAACAGTGCTCACTAGTGACTAGCTTCGTGAGGAAATTCTCGGAGTTCTAGTTGAGAAGACGTGACCAGTGGAGTTCAACCCTGTCGGGTGTAGGCAGTAACTACCAAAGACAAATGGGTGAGGTCGCGCAAAATCCCTAGATCAATCAGAGTTATACATTAACACCGTTGGATGCCGGCCCAGTGGTCCGATGGTAAGGCGTTCGCCTACAATGCCAAAGGTCCCGGGTTCGAATCCTGCGAGGAGCAGGAGTCGTGGATGCGCACTGCTGAGGAGTCCCATACTAGGACGAAACGGCCGTCCAGTGCTTCCAGGTTTCTAATGGTGGTCTAACAATGATGATTGATTAATGATTTCAAATGTGTAAAAACGCAAACCTCCAAAACTGTGCCCCAATATATTATTTCTTCATTCACCGATATTTTGAATTAACCAAATGTTCAACTAAAATGGAACCTATGCGTATATACTGAACTCAAATAATGTAGGTATTTTCTATTGTTTCTTTAGTAATCTTGAATGTTGTGTAAGTGAAATGACAATATTGTTCAATTTGAAAAGCCTGCATTATTCAAAATTGGAAAAATACTCAGTTCAGTTCAAATAAATAGTCCGCATTTAAATAATGAACACATTTTGTGAGCAATATCGTTTTTCAACATTCGTTACGTGTTTAAATAATGCGATAGCTGGTGAATCAATCACGAAAAATAATTGTTATGTATACGATCGAATTTACAAATTTAATTGAGACGTGCATTGATTGAAGTTTGACTATTTCCATGTTTTCGTAGTCGGTATTGTTTATTGAACTCCATCTAAGAAGCTACTATATGTGCCATATATCTGTTGTACTGGAAATTGCGTAAACTGTTTAATGATTTTGAAAATTCAGAAACTATTAACTTAGTAAGATTTGCTACGAAGTGGAACCTGAGGTTTTCAAAGAACCAACGATCTCTATGATTTCCCGATTCACGGATAGAGAAAACTCATTCAGTATCGTGCACCCATTAGACAGCATATGAGTGTTCACTATGTCATCATGATGTTTGCATTCAGATAGCTACCTTTATGTAAACTAAACATCTATAATAATCACCAACTCAATTTCGAAATTACTTGTCGTAAGCTCGAGAATAATAAAAAAGTAATCTAAACTGAAGTAACAAATACGGGATTATTGCTAGATAATAATCCCATTATTTTCAACCTAATAATCCATGATTGATGTTCACACTGTTTACTCATGGTTTTTCTCGTAATATAAGCTCAACCTTCATTGTTCATTAAAACTTTTTCAAATACCTATGTTTGTTTGCGACTGAATAGTATTTAGCATGGTCGTCATTGACGAAACGATCAAAGGTTAACGCAATATTTCAGTCAGAGCCTGAAATTATTAACTTTTAAATGGTTTTATACCAAAAATACATATGGGAATTATTCAAATGTATAGCATTTATATAACTAACTATGCATGAACTCTAAAAATTTGACTTCCTTACTTATTATGTTACGTAAAACATCAAATCCTGCTTTGTAGATAGCTTCAATCTAATTGTTGTCTCTTCACTACCTTGCATGTATTTCAATGATTTTAATGGAAATCAATAATACAGTAATAAGATATCTATTATCATAATTTTCCATTGATTATCGCTTCAGGGAATTTTTAATGCAACTTTGGTGAGTTATTCAGATTCTCATTTTTCACTATGCAGTGGGGTTATTCTAGTTTAGTAATATTAAATTATAATAAACTTTTCTTCACACAAATAACTCATATGCAACGCATCCTAAATCTAGTTTTACTAGTGTAGTAAGGAAAAAGGAATTAACTTATCCGATCTATTCTTATCAGCACTTCGCATTTAGAAGCATTATGTCAGTTATTTTATTCCACAATCACTGATTTAAAAGACCTTAATTTAAAACTTCTTATCTCTATGTTGTTCCAAACAATACTTTGAAAAAACAGGAGTTCACTTATATATAGCTTATGCTATTTCGCTTCAACATTTGGGTTTTCGTTATCTAAGTTTCTACATCTGAAAAATCCTTTTTGAATCCCTGTCTGTTCATTTACTTTGCCATGTCTGTCAATGTTACCTAAATGAAATATAACTATCCTCAAATATCTCTTTTTTTGTGTATTCTTTGGCAACAGGAAAAATCTTTACACACGTTTGGGTGAAACTTGGAAATGTTTTTTGGATGTGATGCCCCCATATCTTGGTGGTAATAACAAAACATGTATTAATCCCAGTCAAACTTCTATGCATTGAATACTATCAGCATCTATCAGGATTGAATCAAATCAATGCATAAAATAAATATTACACACAATACTTGAAATCGATAATGTATAACAGTCGAATTCAAAAATGATATTACTGATATATATTTAAGATATTTTTTCAATAACCAATTATTAAAAAATAAAACTACAATCAAATCAAACAAATTAAAATGACTTTTCAACAAAGAATATTGTTAAATGGTAAATCGTGAATTTGTAAATTATGATGAAATTCAGTTTCGATCAGTTACTATTAGTGTTTTTCGTTATTTACTTTTGTTCCGATTGGAAATGTTGGAGCGTCTAGACCAGAGAATCGTTCATACATCTTCATTATATCTATCTAAACGAACAATAGGAGTTGAGAACCAATGTCAAATACATAAACATTCTATTCTTATTGGTGTCGGAATTCTTAAAGCACTATTTCCGTGAAAAAATGTTTTGTTTATCTTTCTGTCATTTATTTTCATGCTGCTATCTGACAAACAATACATTAAAACGACATTTCTTAAGACGAATGACATAAGGACTGTAGTGAAATTATCATTAGCTAAAAACTAAGGTTCATCTTCAACTGTATATTGGACTCATAATTACTTCAGGTCAAATCAGTGGATCCGCTCAACACAGATCAATAATATGAAAACAAAGAAATCACAAATGATATTTTGAACTTGTTTCAATTATATCTGTTAGTTAGACACGATTGCCTTGTTGCAGGCTTATTGGCACTTTCGTATCCAATCCGTGCTAGTCCATGCTGAGGGGACATTCCAGAACATTCTCATGGAAGAAACTGTAAATATACGAATATTTTGAGCTTCTTGTCTTTCTTTTCGGCATCGCTTTTGGAATATAAGATCTTTCCTTTTCAACCATTACCTTATTTTGTAGAACGTCCGGAATTCATAGTAGAGAGAATTATAACATTCTCCATGAATTTTCAGTAACGATGACGAATTATTAGGTGAACAAAAATACATATTTCACGAGAATGATTTTGTACCAGTGTAACATCCTGTGAATATCACATTTTTACTCAATGTAATATATCAGCATAATATCTTCGCGAAGCCAAACGTCATCCTAACTAACTAAACCTCGACCTAAATTAATTATAGATTTAATTTATTACTTTGTGAGTAAAATGTTCTCGCCTGATGTATCTCACTGTATGAACAACTCAACATTTACAAAAATTATTATTTAGCTGTAATATCATCAGTTCAAGCAATTTCCAAATAGATTCAAAATTAAATTCTATTTCATTTTAGCTTGACGGAGAATTTTAATATGAAACACCCACACACACAGAAAATTCACCATTTATGTAGTAAACTGTGAAGATGAATTGTTCTCAGCTCAATTGTCTATAATGATTAGAAATACATGGAAAGGTTTGTGATTTTTAAATGAAAGTGAAAACGTGGGTAGTGAGAAGAGTAAAAACCTTTGTCACCAAATGAAATTATGGAGTTTCCGTAATATTAAAATACAAAATGTGATATGATAGTTCCTCAGTGATTATTATTTTTATTTTGGACTTTGATGTACGCTTTAAATCCTAACCTTTCGTTGATCATATGCAATGTGTTCTCACTGTTCATCGACATTTCGCGTGAAAGGTGAATTAATTTTTTGTTAATTCAACGTAACCTAACACAGATGAAGATGAAACACTGGAGCCTAATAATAACAAGAGCTTTCAACTATACAGCCAATGAAAATTAGAAGGAAATGTGAAACATTTATTGTCAATATTAGTTCATCGAACAGAACACACCGAAAATACTTCAAAATACCAAATCTAATGTATTGAGTTTTCCGGATGGGTGTATTTTTTAAATAAATGGGTGCGCGCACACTGATACCTGATTTGAAAACTGAATTCAAATAGTAATGAAAGTATTCCTAAGCAAACTGTTAGAATCACTTTATTAATAAGGTGCTGATAGCAATTCAGAAACGTTTCTTCAAGATCGACAGTGTACTTGAACTTTAATAACAACAATGATAGAATTCTTTCAAATAATCCATCGAACTCACGTCAAATAGGTTCCATTTTTGGTGAGTATCAACGGATATTTGCCTGATCAAAATTTCGTAGAATTAACTATTCATACACGGCAGAATTTATTCCATATTTTATTTTAAACTTTTGAATAATATATGACATTCTTTTTTTTGCTGAATTATATAGATGAATCTAACTTTTCAGTATTATATGCTTAAGACTCATGTGAACAGAGAAGCAATACTACTTCGTTCCACAAGCAAGTTAGATATATATCTGTCATCCTATAAACATATGATATACAAGTAAGAAAAGTTATCTAAAATTGTAGATAGTTTCAGTGATCTTAAGTTAATACATCTGAACGATTGTAATATTCTATGCAAGAAATGTTTTCGAGAAAATAACTGTTTACTAAACAACCGTCAAGACAAAGAAATTGTATAATTTTATCACATTGTTGGTTAATTTCCTTAGGCTAACAGAAAATAATTTTTGAAATAAGTCACAGCATGCAAGGTCCACGACGGTCACCTTGTAAGAATTCGAAATAATTTCACTACATTTATATTTATATGCGTTGAATGAGGTTAAAATAAAGTATCGAAACTACGGTTCATGGCAGCTATCACCCGTTAGAGAGTCATTTGGTGGTGACCACGTCTAGATTGATCATGATCGATACTAAATACTTATTACTAGCGTTTTATTAGTAGACCTGTTTCACTACAGTCACATGAGTAACTGATACTCACGAGATTGACAGAGAGAATCAGTAAAACAAAGCTAGCATATAGTAACTTAGTTTTTTCACTGGTACTTTTCATTGGAAAAGAATGTTTTACAAATGTTGTGAAATGAGTAAATCTTAATAAAAATCATTAAAAAAACCCGAAATATACAGTTACAAATAAAAGTTATCTTGAATACTTTTGAAAATGGTGAACGGTAACATTATTTCTAGAGCATAGGTTACATTTATTCGCTAAAATTCAATCGAAAAATTCCATCGCTTTGTATGTCGATGGAAATAATTCCATTCAGTGTACGTTATACTAAACGTTAAATTCATTCAGTTACATTCAAACTGATTTCAATGACAAATACGTCAACAGTGCTACAATAATGTGTCTATATAATATACGATTTGTGTGTTCATTTTGAACATAGTATGCTATTTCGTTTATCTTATAAATCGTTTGTTGATGCACATACAGATCTTTTCAGATTTAATTTCATTTAAATATTTGATTATTTAGGAATATAATTTTCATTTCATTGCAGTATATTTCTGACGTGTGGTCAAGTTCTTATGGTTTAACAGTAAAATAGTTAATAATAGAACGATGTACAAACATTGACCTATTCATGATTTCAATGAAATTCAGCAATCTTCACAACCCTTTTATTGAAAAATAATTAATCATTTTTTAAAATGAGACCGTTTAGATTATGAAGATAAAGTGATCCTTTAGACAATAATTTGATGATGGTGTTACGTTTTAGCCATTAATAAGATGGTCTAAGTTAACCGACTATTTTTGGAAGACTACTCAATTTACGAACCACTGTTAACATCTATTCATTGTTCAGTTTAGAATGGTATCACAAAAGCGTGAGGTTAACTGACGAATATTTATTCATTACCAGCTGTGTTCATAGTTAAATGTTTTGTTTTCTAACCCCTTGCTTCTGCTTGACCGTAACAAGACAGATGATTATTGTCCTAACAGTTTACAACGGAGTAACTATAACCCATATAGGCCTTTTCCATCCTGCTGAACGTATCAGGATTTATTAGTAGTAAGCAAACGAAAAGATGTAAACGATGAATACAAATTAACGAACAAACACATTTAACATTGAAAATTAAAGTAGCTGATAGAACTGTGAAGTTGCATAAATTTTTCTGTTTCTCGATTGTTTAACCCTGAAATGTAGTTTCGTTTCTATTAATATATTTAAAACAACTACGAACATGAGTTCTACCGTGAAATCGACAAACTGGAAGATAAAGAGTGGATATTAGGGAAGGTTAGGATTTTCAGGGATGTATTAACTGTGATTTCATATATGAGCCAGTTCCAATTCCTATGAACCACTTAAAGCTCATGGATCAAGTCAAGGAAAAAAACAGTCAAGATGAACATAGTTACAGGTGCGAAAAGCTTAGTATAATAACCAATTTAATGCTTGATCGATGGAACAGGTTGTTATCGAATCGCAAAAATATTCGGACTGTTCATCCCAAAATTATGTATATATAAATGATATAGTTTCAAAAAACGTTAGGAGTTGTACGACCTAATAACTCTGCTCAGAGACAACAAGCTACCTAAACAATGAAATTCATCAGCAATTGACGATCTTGTGTAATTTTTTTTCATATCTTTCATCATTGAAATTTTTTCGGTCAAGCGATTTTATCATTCGAATTTCTTTAATTATCTTTTTTGCATCTAGTGAATGACTGTGTACGTTCATTTGGCATTTATTTACTGTATTTGCTCATGTTAATTCCAGCGGGTTTCCGGCCATCGACCAGCGTTTTCCAACTATCTCTGTCCCAGGCTTTCTTTTTCATTTCCACCCCATTTCTGCTTTATTTTCATAAAGTCCTATGACCTAACTGTACTTCGGTCTTCTTCTTTTTCCCTTACCTTCAAGTTCAAAATTACGGCTTGCCTGATGAGGGATTTGGGTGGTTACCTCAATTTGTAACCAAACTCCTTATTTCTTTCTTAGATAATCTTTGAAACACTGACCTGTCTCACCAATTCGTGCCTTCGTATTGACTGTGTATTCACCTTTCACATCCAAGATGGTACAAGGATATGTATATATTTCCGCATCTTCCAACGCATAACTGTCAAGTTTCATGTCTTTGTAGCATTTTGTGTTGTATCAAAGGATCTCGTTCTTTCCTTTGTGTTGAGACCTTCTACAGCAAAGGCAGCTGCAACACTGGTCGTCTTCCCTTGCTTTTATTGCTGTGTGGAACGGGAAAGTGAAGTCAAATATAATGTTTTGTGGGAACCA